CAGCATGTTATTCAAAATAAATACAATGAGAAACTTTAAAACCCTGGAAACTAAACAAAACATATCCGTAGGCCCGAAATAAACTGGAGGGTGCCAACCTGTGCCTTCTGCATTGTCAGACCCTCGTGCCACAAGGAAACGGACAAGGTGTAAAACAAGGTGACTTGCCTCAGTCATAGAGGTGTCACCAGGAGATAGAGTCCGGCCCCTCGAGGACACCTATGCACACTCATTTGTACAAAGTAATGGAAAGAAAAGGGAATCAATTTACAAAGGCAAAGGGATGAGGAGAGAGACTATATTAGTTTTCTGTTGCTGCTGTAACAAATTACCATAAACTTAGTGTTTTAAAACAACAAAACCTATTCTCTAACAGTTCTGGAGTCTGGAAATCCAAAATCAGTCTCACTGGGCCAAAGTCAAGGTGTTGGCTGGGCTGGTTCCTTTGGGAGGCACTGAGTGGGAAATCCCTGTCCTTTGCTTTTCCAGCTGCAAGTGGCCAACAGCTCCTTCCTCCATCTACAAAGGGCATCCCTCCAATTCCTGCTCTGTCATCCCGTTGCCATCCCTCGGACGACTCCTGTCTCCCTTTTACAGTCACCACTGTGATTCCATTCAGGACCCACCCAGATAATCCAGGATAAACTCCCCATCTCAAGATCCTTAACTTAATGGCATCTGCAAATCCCTTCCCAGGTGCCAAGGATGAGGGCGTGGACAGCCTTAGGGGTCATTATTCTGCCTGCCACAGTGGCATCCACACGGGAGAGACTCCGGTGCATTTCTGGCAGACAAACCAGGTAGAGGCTTGGGGACGTGAATCGGGGTGAGGGGGTCACTGCATTCAGGAGAGTGCTGCAGAACGACCTGGGTTGTAGGAATGAGAAAAGATAGACAAGAGCGCTTTAATGATCGTCCGTGCTTCCGGGACCCTCTCCGCCCCCTTCCCCAGGGCCCAGGTCACCCCACATTCACAGACAGAAAGATAAAAAAAAAAAAACTAAAAGAAAATATAAAGGCAATTCCTTAAAGAAACCAAGCTCTCTGACAGCCTGAAGCGGGAACTAGGGTGCTGGCTTCTGAAAAAAAACAAATTAGAACAGCACATTCTGGCACTTGAGGGTGGGGTGGGGGTAGGCGGAAGTGGGGCTCCTGGCCTCTCCCCTACCCACAGGTGAGCCAGCCGATGGTGAGCCCCACACCTGGACACAGCTCCCATGCACGTTCCAATCAGGGCAGGGGCCTGGCAGGAAGGGCCCGACACTTAGACCCGAAAGCACTCCCCCATCACCCGCAGACACCAGCCTCACGCCCGCCCCCCACCCGCCTTTGAGAATGGTAGGGACTGAGCCGGGACCAACGCACAGGGAAAGAAACCCGGCCGGAGCCAGAGGGCACCCAAAGCGAACGTTCTGTCCGGGACCCCACCAAGGTGCGGCACTGTATTTGCTCATCTCTTGGTTCTCCTTTTTGGTTGTTCGTGGTGTCTTTTTGGAAAAGTTCTGGCTGATTATCTTGGGTATAGCCTCCATTTTCAATGTCTGATTATTTCCTCATTATGACATGTAGGTTTAATGTTGTTTTGTTGTTTTTATAGGAATTTTGCACAGGCAATTTTGTGTACTTCCTGTAGTGTCACATCGACATTTGATGTCACACTGTTCTATTTTGGTGGCCCTTGTTCAGTCACTTAGTTAGGAGGGTGTCTGCCAGAACACCTCTCCACCCCCCACCCTGCCACCCCCAACTACGTATCGTTGGTACGTTTTTCTTTCCCTTTGTAATGAGTAAGTCATCTATCTGCTGGGCAATAATTCTGGACCAGACTGTTCCTCAACAGCGTTTACCAGTGGTCCTACCAATCTTCGATGATCAGTTCTTTTATCAGAGACCGTCTGTATTTTTTCTAATTTATCTGTTAAAATAAACTGTTTAGTGCCCACAAACATATCATCTAGGTAGTCTGCATCTGGTTCACAGCAGGTGCTTAATAATGGTATCAATTTTAAAAAAATCATTGCTATTATTCCTCACCCACAAACTTTCTTCAAACTCTTCAAGCCGCAGATCTGACTGAGCTGACATCAGATTATTTATAGCTTCCATTCCACTAAGTGTATATTCCTCTATATATGCTTTGGAGCAGAAATATCACATGATCGTGGAATACTGCCCTGACCTGCTGGGAATATTGCAGAACATCGTGTACATGCATTCTATTGCCTTCTGAAATTAATAAAAAAAAGAAATCGGGATCCAAACCATCTGGTTCTAAGCCTTTCAGATAAGGGACTGTGTGTGGATGTATACTGAAAATGTTACCAGTAATACAATCATTTTACAACCCACAATAGAAAATGCAAAGGCAGTTGATACAAATGAAAGACACCATTTCCTCAGTGCTGCACGCCCATGATCTCAGGCCACCCTCACCATGACGCTGTGGTGCCTCACTGAGGCTTCCCACAGCCAGGGCCTGGGGAACCCACGCCCAAACCCCTACCTGTCATGTGACCCCAAAGCAAGTGACTTGCACCAAGTGCACTGACTACTTATCTCTGGGCCTCAGTTCCTCAGGAGAGGCATCCGTGAGGTCATGCATATAAAGAAATTAGCACAATGCCTGCTGGGAGCCAGCGCTGGGGTGACTGGGAGGTCTGGCATTCAAAAGTAACAAATCAAAAACTCTAGAGACCTAGAGAACTCCGACATAAAAGGGTTTATTGAGCCTTTACGGATGCTAGCTAACAAAAAGGACTGAATCCTGGGACAGGAAGTTTCTGCTTCACCAGCAGGAAGGCCAGTTAACAAAAACAACTTATACACCAGATTCAAGAAAAAAGGGATATTTATAAGAGGTCTCAAGGAAAGAAAGTTGTTTAAATAGACATTGGCTATAGACAGGAAGATGGGCTAACATGAAGTGGGGTAAGTCCCCCCACCCCCACTTTGTAAAGTGGTTTACAAAGAGAAAACCCCTGGATTGGTTGTTGATGATGGTCAGACACTGTCCACCAGCAAGAGGCACACAGCAGTTCTGGGACCTTCTAGATTACTGTTAAAATGACTTCATCCAGGAACATGGAGTCTGTGGTTAGCTGTTGACTGATTACCTCCCCTGTCTCTCTCCCCATTCTCTAACCCTAATGCCACTTACTCTAGGACACCTCAGAATTTTTCCTTATCAGAAAACTGGCTCTGGAATGTCTAAGGTCAGTCACCGAGGTCCCTTTGAGGTAAGCAGGGACATGGGACAAGCATCATGATTAATTTTTCCTGTCTATTATGAAAAATGCCAAGATATTGTTGGCTATGTAAGTTATTATGTAAGAACAGGAGGGACTCCATCTTAAGCCTAATATTCCATTTTAAAAGCCAGGTTGTTAGGAGGTAAGATTCCTAACAAATATTATGGTAATTGGCCAACAAATGACCCTATCTTCAGGCAGGGCAGCAGTACTAAATGGTATATCCCCACTGCTTGAGGGTTATCATTATCTTAAAGAAGAAGAACAGGACCAATAAATTGCTCGTGTTAAGTTTATCTTACAGAATATCTAAAGGACTGACTATGGATGGTGATATAATGTCTCTTACAGAGATAGACATCATGAGACCACAAGTCAAGCCTATGTCCCACTGGCCTTTTACCCCATTCTTGAAATCCTTAAAAACTCAAATCCTAAACCTTTAAGTGTGCCTCCTTTCTGAGGCTGCCTACACTCCTGAGCGTGTACTGTCTTATTAAAAAAACCTTGTTGCATAAGCCAATTGCACGTCTTCCCAGAACTCTCTATCATGGTAAAAACAAGAATTTACCAACCTCTACCACTGGTGGTAAATGTCTTTGTCACTTTGCTATTTCATTCAATTTTCCAGTCTTAAGCACTAGTCTTCACTCTCAGTTCTAGTTCAGACAAGTAGGGAAGGACTACTGAACTTGGGCTTGCAAGTTCCCATTACCCTGGTGACCTGAATGGGCCTGTGGCTGTATGATCACGGTTGTCTGAAAGCCTGCCAGAAAAATCTCCTTTCTTTGCTTTGGGAAGTTCTCAGAACATAATCTCACTCCATCCAGAGCTCTGAGGCTCACCCCAATCCTGGAGAGGTAGGGGCTCAGTTCCCATGCTGTGCAAACCAAGTGGACACTGGATGCCAGGTGACCCTGGCTTCAGGAGTTGGCAAAGGATCTACCTTATGCTGAGCAGGAGTTCAATGAACTTCCCCTTCCTCCCCTCTGATCTTCCCCGCTCTCTGCTGCCTGCACAGCTGCAAGTGTTCACTGCTACTCTCTAGCTTTAATGAATTCCTTATCTACACTTGTCTGACCTGTTTCTGAATTCTTTCTCTATCAGAGCCAAGAATCCTCCTCAATTAGTGTGCAAGGAGATCTCCCATATTGGATTGCCGGACAGCACTGTGAGCAATCAGCACAATCAGAATGAACTGTGAAGGCCCAAGGACAGAGTTTAGGGAGAAAAGGGTCATGGCCTTATCCTTATGGTCCTGAACCTCGGATTAATTCAGTTGTCTGTAATATAGGGCAGGCGTCTAAAAGAGGAGGGCACAGTCTGGTCTTGGCAGATAAGTGTGCGGCAGAGAGGTTCAATTTAAGAACAGGCCGGGGCTGCTGAGACTGTCCCCTAGGGACACCTGTGACTTTGGGAGAATCCCTGTGGACAATAACTTAGCCAGGCCCCGTCGGAGGCTCAGTTTAACCACTGACTGGTGGGAGAGCCGTTTTGAATAGCGGAGGCTGCTGTAGGCAGGAGGTCCGAAGGGGAATCCAGGAGTTGGGCAGGCGGAGCGAGGGCGGTTCCCACAGCGGGAGGCTTGGGGAGCTGGAACTCGCGCGGGGCCGCAGGTCGGCGAGTGGCGGAGGCGCAGGCTGTCCCAGGGCCCGGCCCGCGGATCCCGGCCCCGGGCTGGGTCTCCTCCCCGCCGGGTCGCGGCAGCCGGGCCCTCCCCACCCTCCTCCCTGCAGCCTCCGGGGTCTCGCGTCTCGCCCGCCGCCCGGATGGGATCGCAGAGCCGCCACGCCACAGGGGAGGACCGACTGCCTCCCAGAGCAGGGTGCGCAAGAAGATCTTAGCCCGCACTCGCCACCGAGCGGGCCGCCAGGTGAGCGCCGGGACAGGCAGGGACCCAGGTGGGGACCCGTGTCCCGTCCTACTCAGAGCTGGGAGACCCCCGGCCCCCCGGAGGGTCGGGTCCCCTGGAGTGCTGCACCCCGGCCCCGGGCCCATCCGCGTCCTCTGCTGCCCCAACCAACATCTGCCCCCTCTGTAAATCCAGAGATTCCCAAACGCACGTTTGAAAGCCCCAGAGGGTGCACAAAGGGCTTTGCTTTTAAAAGGCGTCCCCTAAGGCCCACGCCTCCATCGGCTGCGGGGCGGCGAGGCCGCCATTAAATAAATACCCCAAACTTGCGGACCAGTCCGTGTGCACAGCAGCCAGGGAGAGGCCGGCCACTTTCACCAGATCGGGATTTTCTTTTGCCTGGCAGCCCCTTTGCCGAATCTGTGAATCGGAAGCATTAGAGCGCCGTGTCTTGATTTAGCAACTTGTGGAGTTTGTTTTTAGCTGCGGCTGCTCCTCCCAATTTAAATCTTGTAAAGTTAACTTTTGCAGGGTTCAGTAACATTTTTTAATGCCCTATCTGCTCCTTCGACTTTAAACAGCATCTATTTACTCCCGATGTTGAAAGGCTGCATGATTAGGAACCTACTTTTAAAATAAATAACATTTTTTTTAATGTCCCAGTAAGACACAAGAACAGAAGATAAATAGGACAGACAGAGCTTTGCATTAAAAACAACAAGCCTTTAAACAACAGCTCTGGCCTGCAGCCAATTAACATTGTAATTAAGTGACTTTCCAGAAATGGCAGAAGTGACCTGTGATCACCGTGGTGCATTGTTTTAAGTTTTTTATGATTTTGACTTCTCTGGTGCTTACTTCCAAATCTTGAAAGCAAATTCTTGGATAGTTATTTCTTACTTTACCAACTTTTAGATATTGTCCACTAATCCTAAAAATAGATGGACACAGTTTTCATCATCTGCAGCAACAGAAATAATTTTCCTAAACTTGTGTTTCTTGTTCTATTAAATATATATAGGATCTGTTGACTCCCCTTTTTCTAAGGCCTGGCTGAGAATAGGCTTTAAAAATATTTTTTTAAGTCATAACTACTAATTTTTTTATCCAATCAAGTCATACATATGCTTCACAAATCAAATAGAAATGATTTTTTTCCCATGCTAATAGTAATGTCTCTTTAAGAATATGGAAATAGCAGGGGCAGTGTTTTAGATTAAAAGAGGTGAAGGAGACATGGGCCCCCAGGAGTGTGTGAGGCTCCAACCTGGTCTGGAAAAAACAGCTATAAAAGACCTTCTTGGGACAATGAGGGGAATGTTCATCGAGTGAATATTAGATGGCAGAATGGATTTCCCTTAGTGGTGGTAACTGGTACTGTAAACCTATAGCATGCCCTTTTTCTCTGTTAGAAGATTCATGAAGAAGTATTAAAGAGTTCATGGGAAGAGAGAGAGGAAAACAAACATGGCAAATTATGAAACATATAGAGATGTTCATTTTACTATCCTTTCAACTTTTTATATGATGAAAATTTTTATAGCAAAACTTAGGGAAAATAAAGTAAGACCATTTAGAAATTAAGCGATGAAGACATGTGCACAGTGGCACAAACCCTGGAGTCCACACCAAGGTTCAAACCCAAGGTCTGCACTTGCCTGTCGGGTGACCTGAGGGGGTTGCTTCCCTCCTGCAAACCTCAGTTTCCCCAGCTTGGCAACGGGGTCTATCTCATAGGTGGTTTGTGAGACTCCTATGAAATTTTAGAAAGCACTTCCCATGAGCCTAGAGCAGTTTGTGTGCAGTTAACAGTAGCTGTTAGTATTTTGTGAAGGATCTTTCTTAACTACATGTTCTGCTCACTTCTGGGTAACTGTTGTTGACATAACTGCTCTTGGGCCCTTCCTTCCATTCTTTTTTTCTAGAGATAGATTTGAACTTGGCATTTTCTTTTTCCTTTTTAAAAGGCACCAGATGTCTCTGATCTTGCCATTGGTACAATTTCTGACCTGTTTCCTCCCCTAACGCCTCCCCTAGGCCCACTTTCCCATAGTCCTGGCTTCAATGACTATGGGATGCCAACATACAGAGATGCGCCCTGGACTCCACTCCTGTGGCTGGACTTACCTGCTAAGCAGAGTAACAGCCTTCACAATGGTGGCTCACACTTCTCGAGGGCCAGGCCTTGAGTTCATGTAATTTTCCCATAGCCATGAGAGTTGGAGATTATTAGAAGTCCACGATAGGACACAAAAGTCCTACTGTTAACTGTGCACAGTATTTTTCTAAAACTTTTGGGGTCCAGTGCATTTGGGAATCCAGACTTTTTGAAAATGTGGCAAGTAATAGGGAACCCATTCTCTACGTTACTAAGATCCCTTTAGTGGGGCTGGGGAGTGTTGGGTAATTGAACGCTCTGATATTTCTTGTGTGACATGCATGTTCATATTCAGTGGGATAAACAAAACCTCCCATCACTGTGAGTCAGCTCAGCCACCAAGTGGGTCCAGGAAACATTTGTGGTTTTCAGGGCTTTGGGATTTGGGGATGGTGGACAGGAGCCATTCCCAAGGTCATAAAAAAGTTGGAGTTAGCGGTAGGGCTAACCAGGAGCTGACTGACAGAACCGACATTAGCCCTTCCCCAGCGCCACCTCCTCTGTGGGCTGTTAACCAGCAGTTCCCCAAACCAGTGTCCCTCACTAGCCCTTTGATGCCCTCTAGCCCAGAATTGTCAGGGCTGCCTCCTGGGAATAAGATGATGCACTTAAAGAATTTTCCAGGGCGCCTTACACAAAGAAAGCACCTGACAAATGAGCTGTATTATTTGCACTGAGAGACAAATTAGGCTATTTCCTTCTTTGGCCTAAATAATCATGGTGTTCACTGATAGGAGTAGGTTTTTTTTAAATTGCAAAAAAAACCATCCATACAGAAAAGTACCAAAAGCACATGTACAGTTTAACAAATAATTACAAAATATGTATCTAGCACCCAGGTCGACGAGAACATTGCCAGCCCCCCAATGCTTCCCTGTGTATGCCTTCTGGCTAACAGCCCTCTCCCTCCCTGGGGGGGAACCGCCATCCGGACTTTTATGATACTCATTTTCCTGCTTGGCTTTTCTTCATCTGGCTTTAGTACCTGTGTGTGCCTCTGTAAGCAATATTGATTAGTTAGCCTGTTTCTGAACTTTCTAAGAGTAGAACCATTGGCGTGGGTATATAATTTATCATCTAAACCAGGAAATTTTGGAATAGGGGTCACTATTAATAATTATGTTAATTATCCAGAGACAACAGGCATAGACCAGGCCTGCCCAAGGCACCCAGGCTGTCTACTGTCGGACTCACACTCTCCGGGCCTTTTTGTGTCCGGTGTCTCTCACCCAAAATTATGCTTTTGAAGTTCATTCATGCTGTTGTGGGTGCTTGTCATTAACTCCCTTTTTTTTTTTTTTAATCTGTAGTATTTCATTCCATGACTACCCTCATTTATTTATACACCCCACAGTGGATGGGCATCTATCTGCTCACTTCCAGGCTAGAGCTCTCAGGAACAGTGCTGCCGTACATATTTGAGCCGGTGTTTGCTGTCTCTGGGGTCGAATTGCTGGATCATGGGGCAGGCACATTTTCTTCTTTTTCTTTTTTTTTTTTTATCCATCTAGAAATTTTTTTATTGAAGTATCACTGATATACAATCTTATGTTGGTTTCAAATGTACAATAGAGTGGTTCAACAGTTAGCCACATCATCAAATCCTCACCCCCTCTAGTGTGGTTACTATCAACATAGAAAGATGTTACAGAATTATTGACTATATTCTCCACGCTGTACTATCATCCCCGTGACCAACTTACATTGTGATTGTGAATTATTGTGCCCCTTTATCCCCCCAACTCCTCCCCCTTGGTAACCACTAGTCACTTCACAGTGTCTGAGTCTACTGCTGTTTTGTTCATTCTGTTTTGCTTTATTTTTATATTCCACAAATAAGTGAAATCAAATGGTATTTGTCTTTCTCTGCCCAGCTTATTTCAATGAGCATAATACCTTGAGAATGTTTTCTTAATCCCTGTGACCAGGTTTAGGATGGTTCATGGGTAGCTAGGGATGCAAACCACTTTTAAAGCAATGGAAGTCTATTCAAGTATTTTCAATATTGTTTCCTGATCAGATTTGAGTTTTAGGATGACATCTGATTAGCAAATGTAGAAACCACAAAGACTGTGTGAAAATGCATAAAAATGCAGATACCTGAGCAGTTTGTTCTTAATTTAGACCTAATAATTCTTAGCCAAATGAATTTTTTTTATTTGCAATAGATTTATTGAGATATAATTCACACGCCAGGTCATTCACACATTTAAAGTATGCAACGGAATGGTTTTTAGTTTGTTCAGAGTCATGCAGCTATCCCTACGAACAATTTTACAATATTTTCATCATCCTGAAGAGAAATGGGGCAGGCACATTTTCAACTTTAGTATAAAATGCCCAGCTAGTTTCCAAAATGGCTTCATCAGTTTATACCCCCATCAGGATTGTATGTGAGTTCTCACTGATGGCACTTTTAAGTAACTTATGGTGACATTGCACTGGTTGGCTGTTTTTAAAAATAAAAGCACAATCCCTACTACACATGATGCTTCTTCCATTGACATTAGAAGATACCAAAAGCAGAAGTCACTTAGCCCCCTGCTTCACACATGCTGTGGCCCAGAGGGCAGCTGGGTAATTAGAAGGTGATGACAAGGACATAAGAGAGAAATAGAGAACTTCAGAACCATCTATTTCTGTCTGCTGTGACACATGCTATTTAGCCGAGTAGGTATTGCCCTGCTTCCTTGCTGCACCAATTTTAAGGAATTTTACTTTTTTTCTTTTTTTTTATTTTAGGAATTTTACTTTTTAAGATTGTTTCTTTTTACCTCAGTAACTTTAAATTTTATGCCTCATTTCTAGTTTTTATTCTGGCAACTTTCAATTCCCATGATAGGAAGTAGGTGAGCCAAGCCTC